ACCCCGCACCGCTGCTCGACGACCGTCGGGGGTAAGGGCGACAAGGGGTGGCGTGGGGAGAGGGTGCCCCACCCTCTTCGCATACCTCGTCTAGGGGGTGCGCGCGTGCCTCCGGCGGTTCGGGATCAGCGAAAAAATCGTCTCAAAAGGCGTCAGCACGCATTTTCAGGTAGGGGAGGGGGGAGTGGTGAACGGGGAAGGCTGATACGGAAGGGGTAGCGCACCCCCTTTGCACGACTCGCGCATGCCCCCCGACTGCCGCACGCGTACATCACCCCCTTCGAGATCGCCCGAGAAAGGCGACGGACCCCCACCCTCGATGATAAACTGCGGGGTCGAGGTCAGTGCGAACACGTTTTTCGACAAAGGGAGGACGTAACATAGAAGTCGTGCGGACGTCTCCGGTAGCAGGGGGGCTCTGAGTGAATGTCGGCGGGGTTTTTGCTCGGCAGGTGCGTTGGTCAGCGGACAGCGGCGCAGCGCAGCCGTGTCAACCGAAACCCCACGTAATAGGGAGGGGCGGTTCGGCGGCCGCATTGAAGGGTGAGGGCGAGACACGAGGCGCGGCGAGCGGGTAGGTATGGGTGAGTGGGGTTGGGTGAGGACAACGTCGAGGGTGGGCTGTGGAATGGCGCCGCAGGGCTTCGGTTAGCGTTATTTCGGCATAGAACGTCGCGCTCTCGACGGCGAGATCGGGGAGACAAAGGCGTCGACGTACGCGCAGACGATGCTCGCAGTAAATCTGCTTTTGAGCAGGTCGAAGACGGCGACGAGGGCTTGCACGTCGTCGCCGAGCAAGCAGCGTGAGGCAGGTGAGGTCATCATCACCGAGGGCGGGGAGGAAATCGTTGGGGCCGAACGAGGACGACGAGGAGCGCCGTCACTGCGAAACGTGTCAGTCAATATGCACCCCGAAGACGCGGCGAGCGACGCACTCGAGGCCAGCCCAACGATCGTGTACAGCGTAGCACGCACGAGAGTGCGTTTGGTGTCGATTGATGGTGCGCGTGCGTGCCAATGACTTGCTGTGGTGGTGGTGGTGGGAGAAGGAAGGAATCTGTGAAGGGATCAGCAACTCGTACGTGGAAGGGTGAGTGCGGGGACTCGCTCGTAGCAATGGTATTCCTGTGAAGGCAATCTGAGTAGAGTAGGACATCAGTACAAATGAGGTTAGTGAACAAGGGATGGACTTACAAAGTCAAAGGAGAGGACGAGACCAAACAACTGGAGACTGATTAGTGACAGCGGGAAGAGCGAGGGTTAGAAAAGCGCACCGACTGCGAATCAATCATGGGAAGTAAGTTAGAAGAGAGGAGGAAGATATTGGAGGGAAGGAGGGAGGGAGGGAAGGTTAGGTTGCTGAATCAAATGGTCAGACCAGTCACCTTATATACACCGCGTCCCGGATAGACGCCGCGCCCGGGCCCCGCCAAAACTTCCAGCCCATGTTCCGCCATCACTCCGCGAAGACCTCGGTGGGGCGCGCCCGAGTTCTGCCCAGGCAGAAGCGGAAGATTGGGGGAATAAGCGTGTTTCGCGCGCGTACCATCTTCCGCCTTTCCCTGCGCGAATGTCAGCGAGAACGCGGTGGAAAGTGAATCGTACGTACTTGTTCGGGCACGGGATGCCGTCGCCGGAGCGTCGGAAGGTAGGGTGGAAGGTTGGGCGGTCGTTCTTGCGCGGTGGGCCGTTGAGGGTGTGAGCTGCTCTGTGCTGTTCTCATCGAGCTCAGCGTCAAAAGCAAAGCCCCAGAGCGTACCTAGCGAGTACACGAGGCGGTAAGTGACGCGTAACAGTGTCTCGCGGTCGGGGGCGGCGCAGAAAAGTCAGGAAAATGTCGAACATGGCGCGATCACACTTGATCTCCATTTGGCAGGCTTTGAGCTGCGCCAAATCCAGCGCGTCGAAGCCGTGCCTCCAACCCCCTCAGCTTCCGAGAGCACCAGCGCGACCACGAGACACGTGTTTGCGATACTGTAGACATGTTGCGGGGGGCAGATTGGGCAGGGGTGGGCGGTGAATGCATGTCCCCCCGCCAAGGCGAGAGTGTCCGACCGAGCTCGAGCGCAACGTGGCGTTCGTCAACGCGGATTAGTATTCCGCAGGTCTGGATCAGTATGTAAGCATCTGGACGCTCAGTAGGTGACTATCGTCATACCGGTATGCGGGGGGAGGGGGGGTTGGGGACGGCATCTGTGCATGGTGTATGTCGAGTTTTCCGAGGCACCTCAGTGCGCTGGGACCGTAGATAGGTTATTAGTGGTGAAAGGGTGGTGCACTAATGTCGGTAGGAGCGAAAGTGCAGGGGGTGACGCGGCATAGGATGTCGCGCGCGGGGGGAAGGGGCGGTATAGGGCATTGGTGTTGGAGGGGAATGCGCTCAAAGGCTCAGTGCCCTATCTCAATGTGTCTAAAGTGAAGGGGGAGGGGTGAGCGATGTCGACGTCGCGTCCATCGTGCATGCATCCCACCGCCGACGTGTCCATTACCCTCATTACGCGTCCTAGCCGCACCAGGCGCGCCCCCTTCGTTCCAGAGGCGTCGTTCGCGCAAGATATGCGTCGATCACCACGACGACGCGCTTGCCGTCGTCGAATGCGCAGGGGACTCTGGCGATGGATGGGTATCGAGACGGACGCGGGGGACAAGAGCGGTCGGCAATTGCCGAGAACCGGCGGGGCGGGGCGAAGCGCCGAGTGCTTGTTGATCCCGACCGTCACCTTCGGCGGCGTCGTTCCTCGAGGTGCCTCTCCCCTTGTTCTCTCGTGCCGCGGGCGCGTTCCCCTCTCTCACATCTACCCATTCCTGCCATTCCCGCTCATATTTCCTTCCATGAAGCCAAAGTGTTGATTTCTTGCATTCCGTCCTGCGAGCTTGACCCAGCGGTCGACATGTTCGAGCGCCGCTATTATTCCCAAAACGTCTCAGGGTCGTCGGCGAGGCTCTCCGCGTGCAATGGCGACTTGTCGACCTGTCGCATGTCCGTCCTCCGCAGATCCCCGCCCCATGTTGCCTGTCCCGTACCGTGCCTCGCGTCTTCTCTCATTCCACCCCTCCCACGCAGATGCTTTCGTTGTCTGTGGGTCACTCGATTCATTCCCGTCTTCTCTCGCAACATATCTATTTACCGCCTAGGCGATGAGGCAATGTATCGCCGTCCGCCGAGCAGGCTAATACGATACGTGCTATGGTTTTAGAAGTACTCGTAATATACCCTGTCTCGCTCACCGTGCGTGATTCATGTTCGGGCGCTTGCGGAATCTGCTAGCGCGGCGATGTCAGTGAGCAGCGGGGCTCTCCGACTCGCTCAGTGACCAACTGTGTCCTCCTCGAAGGCTGTTCATTCCCTCCTTTCTAGCCACTCCTCCGCCCACGCTCCGATTTGTCTGGCCTTCCGAATCAATCGACCCGTTCGAGCTCATTACGCAACCTCCGCACCATGCCTCACCGCCGCACACCACATCACACGTTTCCACCATCGCGCCATCCCACAACTTGCTTCCCGCTCCCACCATCTCGCTTCCTGCTCCCACCATCCGGCTCGCTGTTGCGCTTTCCCTCCCGCTCGCTGTTGCGCTTTCCCTCTCGTTCCGCCACCCTTCCACTCGCCATGCATGATGACACTTCTCGCTGTTGCTCAGGTCTCCTTCATATCAACTTCTCCTTAGCCTTATTCCCTTCAATTCCTCTTTCTGTCGCAAGCTGTGCCGATGACTTGCTCAAAGGCCGTACTCGCACCCGAAGACTGCCACCCGTGCTCCCCATCCCGAGTGTGTGAGTTGATGGCATATCTGCTAGGTGTGTGTACTGTGCTTCGAGAGCGAGTCTAGCACTCACCCGGTGTCTGCAGGCTGTGGAGCAATGTAGCTCCGTGTCCTGAGCCCCTCTATCCCCTCATTTGTGTGCCAATCCCTTCCAAGAAAATCGAGGTCTCCCCACGAGTAGTCTATACACATCTTCTTGCATAGCTTCTACCTCTATACACACTTGGAAGCAATGAATTCTTGCTGAGCTTGTCGACAAAGCTTGCAACACTGCCATCTCATACCCTTGAGCCTCCGAATGTTTGTGCTGATTGCAAGACCAAGCCTGAAACCCGCAGTGAAGCAACATTGTGACATCCTAGTTCTTGTTTGACGTAACTTGGCAAGCAAAGTCTGTAACTCGGTCAAGGAAGTCCGCAGCCGCAGACAACTACGTATTCGATGCTTGCACGCCTGACGAGTTGTCTGGCTTGACCGAGTTCTGGGAGGGCAGCCAAGACCTGTCCAAAAGAGGGAAGAGAGGGAGAAAAAACCGTAGGACAGAGGAGAGAGGTGCTGAAGATGGGATTGAAAGGCATGTTGTTGAACCGAGTGCGTGCTGCCACCCCCCGCTTGAAGCAAGTCGAGAGCGCGAGCGGTTCGAACGCGAGCGCGGCCGGAGATAATAGTAACGGTCACAGTGGATCGGGAATGGGATCGGCGGGATGGGGAGGATATAGAGGGCGAGGGAGGGCAGATACGAGGACGAGGACAGCATAGAGTACCTTGTATTTTCTCCCTCTATCGAGCCCGCTTTGTCCGAGGGCGCAAATCGCAGCGGTTCGCGAGTTGTATGTTGCATTTTTTGGACTTGCGTTCACACCAAAAACTCGCTCGAAAAGGAAGTTCAACCGTGACCAAGCCAAGCCAGACCCTGCCCGAGCCCTGCCCGCGAGGCAAGGGTCGTCGCGCGCAGCCAGCGTACAAAGGCAAGCAGCTGGCAGAAGACAGCGCGGATCCCCCACCCGCATGACGTCGACGTCGCCCGCCCGCGCACGTGCACCGACCCCGCCCAACCGACGTGAGCAGCCTCATCCCTAGGCGGGGAGACGCGATCGAGCAGCCGTTGACAGGTGCGGGCAATAAGGACGGGATCCCAGCAGTCGAGAAGGCCTGCTGCGGCGTCTGCGTCGACGGCAGCAAGAGGCCACCACGCGCCTAACGCGACGCGTCCATGTGACACAACATCACGCGTCACCCTGTCATCAACGTTGCTCGCCACCGCCATCATCGACGCCGAAGCCTGCAAGGCCACCGCCGGTGCTCACGTCGACGACTTACGCACCCAAGACAACGAAGATGTCGCGTCTTCCTCGGCTTCAGTCGCCTCCAACGGCCGTGCCGCCAACGATCACGACGCGCAAACGTGCCGCAGAACAAGAACAACTGGCACCCATCAGTCGCAAGCGCAAGGCCGTCGACGACGATGAAGACGAGGACGAGGCGCGAGACCAGCCGCGCAAGCTGCCTGCGATCGGCATAGGGCGCGCGAAACCGCTGCAACCATCGCGGTCGACGACGAACACACTCGCTCGACCCACCACTCGTTCAGTATCCGGCGGCAGCCTCGCTCAATCCAACAATGCGCGCCCCAAGCTCACTGTACCTCGCGGGCCCGCACCCTCCCGATCAACGAACCTCGGCCGCTCGACCCGCGGCACGAGCGCCCCGCCCGCGGGCGCCTCCTCCGTCAAGCCACCGTCCCGCCCGGGCTTCAACGTCTCCACCAACCGCAAGCCACCCTCTGCTTCCT